ACACTGAAATGGGTGAGGGGATGAGTGCTGTGGGGGGATTTCAGAAGGCTTCTGCACAGCCCCTGGGAAGGAGGCCCTGGGACAGAGGAGGGGGGTGGAGGAGAAGAGCCAGAGGGTGAGGCTGCAGTCGGTGGCAGGGCAGGGGCCTGTGCCCTGGAGAAAAGGTTTGGGCAGGGCTCAAGTACCGGGGAAGAGCTGGGGGGCAGAGGGGAGCTGAGGTGGCCGAGGTGGGGGGTCTCTGGGTAGCGTCCTTAGGCAGGGGAAGGAGACGGGAAGGGTGGCACTCTGAAGCTGGACCGGCAGGCCCAGCACCAATGCTGCACCAGGACCAAGCAGAGCAGAGCTGAGCCCATGGCTCCCAGGAAGACAATGCAAATGCTAAACCAATGAAAGCCAAAGCATTATAAATTAACTCATGGTGTCCAACTAGGGAGTGTCTGTGGCATGCAAGTATGACTGACATGGGGACATCTGCCAGGTGGTCCACTGCAGTGGCTGCTTCAGAGGGGAAGGCCATTAGTCACCAGAAGTGCCAAAAAGAATTCGACAGAACTCATTACCCACTCACGATAAAAATGGCAATGAAACCACGAACGAGGGTACTGCCTTAATGTAACACAGATGACCTACCAGAGAGGCCTGTAGTGAATGTACAAGTTTGGTGAAACACTAGCCACACTCAGTTGGGAAGCAGAACAAGAAAAGGACAAATGCGACCCCGTGCCAGGGCCAGCAGGCCTCAGCCTGAGGGCACAGCAGCTGCTGTGACGGCCTGCAGGGGCCAGCTTGGCCTCCCCACCAGCCCACAAGTCTGACGCAGCCTCAGTCAAACCCCAACAAGAGTCTTAACTGAACCTGTGACGCTAGTCCTAAATCCCCTTTTAAAAGACTAAATGCATAAGAATAGCCAAAACAGTTTTGGAAAAAAACAAGCATCAAAAGAGTCTGCCTACTGGATATTAAAGCAAATTATGAAAGGACAAATTCAAACAGACCCACATGCAAGAGGGCTTGCAGAGGGAGGCAAGGGCTCAAAGCAGTGCTTCAAACTAACCACTGACCAGCCCTCCTCCTGGGGAAAACGTGAATCCCTCCCTCCCTCCCGCTGTTCCTAAAAATTATTTATACTAGAATTAATCATGACAAATCAAAGAGAAATCAAAGGCCAAAAAACAAAGAGCTGCTCAACTCTACTTGAAATCAAGGAAAATGACAATGGTGAATGTCATTTGTCACCAGTCAGAGTGACAGATTTTATAATCTAACAGTACACCAAGTATAGCGGGTCTGGGGACAGCAGGGGTGGGGAGCCTGAACGGTGGAGGACAACTGTGCAAGGGCAGCCAGGTGGAGCAGTGTGCATAGTAGCTCAGCCCACCTGGACCACAGGGCATCCCGAGTGCCCTGAGGCTGGGCTGTTTGACAGATCCTGCCTCACTGCTCTAGGTGCTGGGGAAGCATGTGACCAGGAGGAAGGGGACTGGAAAGAGAGAGAGAGGGGCGGGCATTCCAGCAGGAGGACTGGCAGGGACACAGCCCTGGGCAGGAGCTGTCTGTGGAAGGTGCAAGAGGGTAGACCTATGGGCACCAACGGGCACAGCTTCAACACATACTGAGTGAAAAGGCACAGTGAGGGAAAATACACACACACCAAGCATCCCTAAGGCCCCACACTTCAGCACGAGTGCACAAGTAAAGAGAAGGGTCTACCAGTTTAACCTTACAGGACCAACCAGAGCAGAAAAGCAGGTGCAAGTTTGGTAGCTTTGTCTGTTTTCCTTGAACAGTTTCATAACTTATTATTCATGTGCAATTAAAACATTAGTCTGTCCTCAGATGTGAATGTCATTCCATCCCAGCATGGAAGAGGGGTAACAAAGATGACAAGAAGAGTGAATTTAAGGGGTGTCAGTTCTGTGCCAATGGGCTCCTCCCCCTCCTCTGCCCTGTGCCCCACAGAGTCCACCCCCCTCCCCTTCTGAACAGAGATAGTAGTGGAGAGAGAAAGAAGGGAAAGCTCGGGCACTTACTGTTTCTGCCACCCACCCCCCGCCACCTTCCTGGCTGCATCTTCTGCCAGACTCTGCCAAGCCCTCTTCTGGGAAGGGGGACTCCACCCTTTGCCCCTGCAGGCCTGGCTGCTACTGGTTTCCCAGGGCCCTGGGGCCTCATCACCCTCACTGGCTCCCTTCACACCTCTGTACCTAATCCATGCATAGCCCCTTCATTCACTTCTCTCCAAGGAGCCCTTTTGAGGGTGCCAGACTGAACTGACCCACATGCTAATGTTTGTCCCACCAGGGCAGGATTTCATGGCCAGCCCACTGGGGAGCAAAGGGAGACAAGAAAAAAGCCCTTCTATCAACCTTGTGGTCTAAAGCAGCAAGTTCTGAAGCAATGACATTTGGGGAGCATCTCCAGGGGCTTAGCTGGGGGCACGGGAAGCTGTGTCCTACCCCTACACTCTCCCCCAAGGCTCGGTGCGGGAAGGTTCCCACAGACTGACAAGGCTGTTCATCCTAACAGGTTTAATTTAAAATTAGCTGGAGGTGCAATGAAGCATAACAGGGTTTGCAGTCAAGACGGTAGCATAGGTAGGTAAATGAGGTACTCACCTCCTCCCACAACCACATCAAAATCACAACTAGCCCGGCTGGTGTGGCTAAGTGGTTGAGCATCAACCTATAGTCCGGGAGATGGAGGTTTGATTCCCGGTCAGGGCACATGCCTGGGTTGTGGGCTTGATCCCTGGTAGGGGGTATGCAGGAGGGAGCTGATCAATGGCTCTCATATTTGATGTTTCTATCTCTCTCTCTCCCTCTCCCTTCCTCTCTCTAAAATCAATAAACATTTTTTTTTTTTTTTAAATCACAACTAAACCACCCTGGCTGATGTGGCTCAGTGGTTACAGCACTGGCCTGCACACTGAAGGGTCATGGGTTTTATTCCAGGTCAAGGGCACTTACCTGGGTTGCAGGTTCGATTCCCAGCCCTAGTTGGGGAGTGTACAGGAAGCAACCAATCAATGTGTCTCTCCCACATCGACGTTTCTTTCTTTCTCTCTCTCTCTCTCTCTCTCTCCTCTCCCCCCCCTCCTTTCCGCTTTCTCTAAAAAAAATCAATGGAAAAACTATCCTTGGGTGAAGATTAACCAAAAAAAAAAAGGAAGCATAACATATGCAAATCAGGTCTCTAAAACCAACCACAGCGATGTATGCTAATCTTCTACAAAAAACTGAAAAGAAGTTTCATAAAAATAGGCCCTGAAACAAAACACATGATTTCAAGTTTCTTTATGCACCATGTGGCCTCGGGTTCCCCCTCCTGAACAAAGTAGGCTAGTAGGACACCAGCATGGCCTCGACCCCTGGCACCCAAGATGGAACAATTCTCACATTTATCACTGCACCAAAGGTTTGAGTCACTGAAATAAGATGACAAGAAGACTCTAAAACAAAGTTTGGAAGGAAGATATAAAACTGTCTCTATTTTAAGTGGCATGAGTATTAGTGTAGAAAGTTCTAAGGAAGCTACAGAATAATTACAGAACTAATATGATTTTAGCAAGGTCAAAGAATACAAGATTAGTATTTTAAAAAATACTTTTATGTACTAGCAGGAAACTGGAAAATGTAGATTGTGAGGATTCCATTTACAATAGCTTTAGAAACTATAAAATAGCAATAAGCTTATAAAACAACAAACACGCAAGACCTCTACCTATATAACACTGATGACAGAAACTCAAGAAAATCTCAATAACTGGGGAGATATACCATGTCCATGCCTTGAAGAATCAATATTATTAAAATGGAAATTCTCCCAAAGTTGATCTATAGATTTAAAGCAATCTCAACCATAATCCCAACGAGATTTTTGTTGTTGATGTGGTTTTTAAGAATTGACAAGCCGATGCTAAGATTATATGGAAATGCCAAAGACTTGGAATATTCAAAACAATCTTAAAACAGAAAGACTAAGATGCAGGACATTTCCTTTATCTGAGTCCAAGACTTACTCTGAAGCTACAGCCATCCAGACTGCCCAGTACTTGCTAAGGTACAACAAACAGCAGGAGGCCACTTGGTGTCACAGACACCAAAGCAACACTGAATGAGGAAACAATCTTTGTAAGAGTGCTGAGCAACTGAATATCCACATGAAACACACACATACACACACACACACACAACTCATACCACAAACATTAATTCAAGATGGATCACAAACCTAAATATAAAAGCCAAAACATTAAAGTTTTTAGAAGAATAGAAAGTCACAGTCTGAGAGAAAATTATCTGCAAAACACACAGCTGGCCAAGGACCGGTGCGCAGGACCTAAGCTCGTAGAGCTCAATAATAAAAAGGCAAAAGAGCCTCAGAAAACACTCGCGTGAAGATGATGCACAAACTGGGAGTGAAAACATGCGGATGCTTGTTAGTGGTAACGAACACTAGTCCNGGGGAGTGAAAACATGCGGATGCTTATTAGTGGTAACGAACACTAGTCCCACAACGAGCTACCACTTTGTGCTCAGCACACAGCCACCACCACGTGCCGGCAAAGCTGCACCACAGCCAGAGCTCCCAACGTCGTCGGTAGGAGTGTAAATGTACAACCACTTTAGAGAAACATCTGGTAGCTGCTTGTAAAACTAAACATACAACTACCCTATGACCCAGCGTTCCATTCCCAAGTATTTACCCAAGAGAAATGAAAACATATGTCCACAAAAAGACTTGTAAAGAATGTTCATAGCAGCCTTAGTCATACCAGCTAAAAGAGAAAAAAGACCAGGTGTCCATCAACAGGAAAGTGGGCACCAAATTCTATGTCCATATAAAGAAACACTTCTCAGCAACAGAACGGCATGGACCACAGCCACATGCAGCACAGATGAATTTTAAAAACACAGAAAGAGCATATCCTACATGACTCCAGTCACATGACGTCCAGAACAGTGAACCTAAACTGTGACCCAGAAAGAGCAGGCAGTCATTACTCCTGGGTAGTCATGGGATTTCTGGGGGTGGGAAGGTTCTGTAATGAAAGGGATTATGGCTGCACAGGTGTGTGCAATTGTCCTAAAGGCCTCAATGGCACACTTAAGATCTGCATTTCACTGTATGTAAAGTTTATCTAAAAAAGAAAATAAAAAAGAACCATAAACAAATATTAAACTCTAGCAAAATTACTGGGAAGGAAGTGTACTGACGTCTGCACTTACTTTGGAATGCATAGGTAAAACATGAGTTGGAAAATGGATAGGCAGACATGAATGGACAGGTGAATAGATATGTGACAAAGAATTCAAAAAACCACAGCGCATACAATTGTGCACACTACACAATACTTGATCATGACAATGAATAACTGTGTTACTGGTTTGTGTATTTACTACATTAGAGTGTTCTCTTTCTACTTAAAAAAAAGTTTGCTGTAAAACAGAATCTGGTGTTTACCTCGCCTCCTGATCGCGCCATTTCTCCTGTGCTTGATTTAACCTGGTTTTGTACAGTAACCTGCTATACAGGCTTGTAGCCCAGGAGCAAGGGGCTGTACCATACAGCCCATGTGTGTAGTAGGCTGTACCATTCAGGTGTGTGTAAACTGCCTCTGTGATGTGCTCCCTAATGATGTCTTTCTCAGACCTGTCCCCCTCAAGTGGCATGTGCCTGTATTTTCAATCAAGGTTGGTTGAATCCGCAGATGCAGAACCTGGATACAGGCCAACTGTATTCCAACTTAATTAAGTGTCAGCAGAACCACACTAAAAACACAACAGTAAGGAAAAAATTAAACAGTCTTCACAAGAAAATCTTAGAAAAACATCAGCAAATACTCAGCAGCATGAGAAAAAAACACTGTATTTTCTGAAACAAAGTGAGTGGGGAGAGTGGCATTCTCCCAGCCATGAGGCATTTAGCTGGGTGCGCATGATGGAAATCCACCGCATACAGGTAACAGAGAGAACAGCCCTGCTGACCCCCAAAGACCCGGGAAACCAGGATTTCTTGGATCACACAGAGAACCGCTATTGCCCAGATGCCCTGTGCAGGTGTGTGCCCGGATGCCTGAAAGGACACATGCCAAAGGGACGTGATTTCACCTACCACTTTAGACAGTTCTGTGTCCTAAAGGGCTCACTACCAGCATGCATCACTTATATAATTATAAATCCATCACAGGACCAAAAACAATTGTTTTTAGACGTAAGAGCTGAGTGCAGCATCTTCTTAAGACCATTTTCTTAGGGAGAAGTCAAGGCTTTGCAGAAGCTCATGCAGAGCCACCTCCTCTGGGGCCATCTGCTTGTCACATCACAAGCCATCTCAGGCATGCTGCCGAGGCCCCAGCCCATCCACCAGCCTCAGTGGGGCCTCGAAAGGGGTTCCATGCCAGCTCTTGAGCTTGGTTCCCCTGGTCCTCGAAAGATGCCATGAGTTGGACAGAGGACAGGGAAGCCTGTGCCCTCCTGGCTATGAGTGAGCCATGTCACCCCTGGGAGACAAGGGATGCACTTACTCTGCAGCCACCGCTCACGCCTCAGCTTCAGTTTCTCCTTCTTGGGCAAAATCATCTTTGCCTCAGCACCTAAGGACAGAGCACATATGTAGTGAGTGAAGCACCCTCATTCCCAAAGGACAAAGCCTAAAGCTCCCTACCCACAAAGCCTGGGAACAGAAGTAGGCATGTTCTGATGGTGCCAGGCAGCACTGCAGCCACATGGGCCACTGCAACCACAGCAGCCGGCTGCACCGGTGAGGCTAGTGCCAGCCTCTCATGGCTCCCAGAGAAAGATGGAGCAGCGGCTCCAGCTGCAGACACCATACTGCACATCAGCACAATGTCAGGAGGGTGCCCCAGGCACAGGAGTCCCTCTGAAGCAACAGCCTGGCACTGACCACAGGGTTGCCCCAGGATGCCCAGGCAGGCCTTCACCTACTACCCTCCCCACCCCGAACCCAGGATGGCCTTCAGAAGGGCTGCTGCCTAAGCATGCTGACTAGAGAGGTCCACATAACTCAAAGAGGACCCATGAACTATCAAGAACTGGGTGGGGACCTCACAGCACAAAAGATCCCTTTCTGCTGAGCCCAGGACCTGGGCACACTGGAGCTTAGGCTCACAGTCCCCAACTGCTTGGAATTTCTCTAAACAGGCGCTGCCAGAAGCCAAGAGGACTCAGGTGAGTACAGTCTAAGCAAGATGTGGTCCCACATCTTCTCACTGAATCGACCAGGAAAACAAGAAAACACACTCCTTTCAGATGCGCCTTCTCCCAGAGGCCTTTGTCCACCCCTGCTGGCCAGAGTGGGGATGTGTCCCCAGCCTCACCTAGCAGCATCAGGGTGTTGAGTACAACACACACCTTCTCCTTTGTCCCCCGGAACAGCTGACATCAAAACACCAGCCATCTACATGACCCTCTCACTGCCTACCCTCAGACCCCTCAGCTCCTGTCCCATCCCCCCAGCACTGGCTGCTCTTACTTCATGGTGACTTCAACCATCCAGGTCTGTGGCCTCCCCTCCGTCATGACCTTATCCTCACCACTCATGGCCTGTCTGCACATCTCTTCTGTTATGGGCTAAACTGTGTCCCCCACATTCACATGTTGAAGACAGAATCCCAGCACCTTAGAATATGGCAGTGTTGGGCAAGAGGGTCTTTGATCAGGTAATTAAATTGAAATTAGGTCATATGGGTATACTCAAATCCAGGAAGACTGGAGGGGATTAGAACACAGATACATACAGAGGGATAACCACGTGAGGACACAGAAAGGAGACAGCCGTCTACACACCAAGGAGAGGCCTCAGGAGGAACCAGCCCTCCAAGACTTTGACCTCATAAATGTCCGCTGTTTGAACCAAATGGTCTGTGGAGCTTTGTTATGGCCACCAGAGCTAAGACACCCATTTTCTCTTGAGTAACACTGAACACTATGCTTCCCGGAACCGGTGCCAAGCCTCCCCATAAACAGCCACAGGTGACCCTCATCTGAACTCTTCATGAGGAAGAGCAGCAATGCAAGTTACCAGGTGCCAAGGCCCCATAACACTTGCTAGCCTATGACACTTGCTACCTAAAGAATCCAGATGACCTTTAGGAGCACTGAGCACATTTATGTTAGTGACTCCATGACTAGTCCCATTTTACAGATGAGAAAAGCAGGGCTCAGAGGGGGCCAGGTCACAGGGAACTGCTATGGACTAGGCCTGGAATGGAGTGTGACGTGGGCCCACAGCCATCAGACCTCTGCAGCACAGTGTCCTTGGGCTGGTCTCCGCTGAAGCTTCACCAGCACCCCTGGGACAAGGCCACTGAAGGGGTACTAGGGACATAGAATTTGGGGGCTTATTTCCCCAAATAAACTATGAACCGAGGTGTGAACATAGGTGCACCTCCTCAGAGCACCCAGATAATGCACAAGGCCCCAATTGCAGGACACGGAGTATCTCAGGTCTGCCTCGCTGATCCCCAGGCTGCCATCTCCTTCATGGCAGGCAGGAGGGTGAGGAGCGAGATATAGGACCCTTGCCCCCAACAGGCTCATTCAGGCCCGTCTTGGGAGGACCGCCAAGGGGCAGCATGGGGACCGCAGTACTGGGTGTGAGCCACTGCCCCATGCTGGCCACACCAGAGTCCCAGGTGGACAAAGGTAGTCACTGTGTCTGAAGCCATTGTGTGGCCCCATGAAAGCTCGGGTAGTGCCAGCTGGCATGTCAGGTGGCACTGGACTCCGCTGGAATGACCAGGGTCTGGCCTGGGGGTAGGAGAGGGAACGCACTATGGGGAACAGATGGTGCCAGGCTCATGGGCGCACCATTCTGGGAGCACAAAGACGACACAGTCACCCATCAGGGCTGTGGCATGACACGCACATGGGAGGGCACTAGGTCGGAGATGCTGGACCTGCTGACAGCATCTCTGCTTCCAGCTTGCTCTAAAAATGGAGCAAACTCCAGGCTGGACACACTTCCTTGGCCTTAACTGGGTCCCCAGAGATAAGGTGTCTTAAGCCCAGGACGTTCTATACGAGATGCACATCCTGACTCCTCTTTACTTCACACAGATTTTCTTGGCTGTTACAAGAGATCCATGACATCTAAGAAAAAACAACGCAGAAACAAGTTCTGTCAAGAGCCGGGTGGCGATCCATCCTGTGTCAGAAACTCATATAAACCCTGGAGCAAAAGGCTTCATAGAAATTACAGCCCTTTTCCAAGAGTGAGGCCCCTACATGGCGGCCCCACGTTACACTTCCAGATGCTCACAAAGTCGATACTGGCCACAGGGGAGGGGAGAAAGGTGTCCAGCAGCATTTCTGATGAGTGAGAGTGACTACACACTCTGGGGCAGGCCATCCCAGCCTGGGTGCCCAACCTGAACCTGGGCAGGTACCAGGAACGCCAAGTCCAGGGGAGGCCTGGCCAACCTGGAGTGGCCACGTGACCCAGCAAGCAGTTTGTTCTTATCTTAAAGATGAGTAAAATTCTCCAGAACCTAAGATTCAAACAACCAACTAAGCTGAGCACCGGCAGGAAGGGTGGGGCTGGTCACCCTGGGCCTCCTGCTCAGCAGACCAAGCTTCTCCCCAGTGCCTGAGCCTCGCCCTGTGCCTGCCCTCAGGTGCCTCCACGACCCTCAGGTGGAACAAAATGGTGCCCAGCAGCCCAGAGAGAAGGCCTGGTGCAAACTCAGGTACAGGCTGCTTTCACAAGAAAAGCTGAAAGTAAGATGCTGCTGTGTATAGCAGAATGATGAGCTTTGGAGCTCTGATTGTACAGACACAACTTGGGCAGCTGTCTGACCCATCTGAGCCTCAGTCTTCTCACCCAGATAATGAGAGTACAACTACAGCAGTGTTGGCGAGGTCAGTAACCCTCTGCACTGTTCTCATAAAGGAGCTTTGTGGAACAGAAGGCAAAGTTCAAGCAAGGAGATGCCTGTCTGCCTGTCCCAGTGAACCCCGGTGCCTGGGTGGCCCGCCCATGCTCCTAGTCCTTGTCAAGTCACCACGGCTGCTGCCACTGCGGGATGGTCAGAGGACAGGAAACAGTTTCGCAGGTGTTGTATTTTGGGAGGATATGGTTAACGGGATACCACATGAGTACATTCTAATGGAAGTATAAGGAAAATCAATACGTAACCAGCCTTTCTATACATGACGTCAACAACGCTGTGCAAAGGAACTTGGGCACAGGCAATGAGAGATAACTAAACAGGTCCTTCCTAAAAAACAGCTCTTCCAAACCAGTAAGAAGAAACTATGAAAAGGGCACAAATGGGCCACTTACAGAGAAACATGGTCAATGAAAGCTCATTCCACAAACCAGACCCCAATGTCCACCCTTCATATGGCAGAAACCCGAGTCTGGGGTCAGCTGGCATGAACCAGTGGCAAATTTGTGCACGCTGGGCAGAAGGTCCATGGGCAGCACCTTCACAAGGCAAACTGGCACTGTCTACTGGCATCTCAATGTCCACACATTTGCCTTAGCAATTCCACCCCTATGGTTTTATCTGAAAACGTATTCACTCTTGTTCACAGATGTGCAGTCCCATCATCAAACAAACTTCAACACCCAGACAAAGAACAAGGCCATTGTTGTGCTGACCACTGTTAGGGGAAGTAAGGGCCACGGCACTCCCGTGTACACCTGTGGTGGTGAAGGCCACACCAGGGCCTTGCACTGAGTTTTCACACTAACGTGGGTCACATCCCAACTTACTAACAAGGAGGCAATGGTATGGGCATCAGCTCAGGAGCCGTTGGTGGGTAAGCTCCACAGGGAAACCCCAGGGCGAGGGGACAGCCCAGCACCACGCAGCCAGAGAAGACAGAACACGAGAGGGGTGCACTACTTGCTACGGGCATGGCCGGACACAGGTGATGACCTGCAGAGGGGGCAGGTGTATGAACTATGTTCCCTTCGTTTTCCTGTCTTCCAAGTTTTCTTCATTATTTATACTGCACCTTGGTAATTAGGTGGCTATTTTAAAAACCTGAATATATTTTTAAAAAAAGGGGGGGGGATAAATTGCCCTAATCAGAAAATGTCCTGGAAGAAAACCAGCAATATTACAAACCCAATAGCCCACATCAATGTTTTCCAAAACACACTCACCAAGTTTTATTGCTAATGCACCCTTCTGCTGACGAAACACTTCTCCCATAGTGAACCCTTAGATGCCCCAAACCACTAAGTATGTCAGAAGGGCAGAGTCCAAACTCTAGAGACAACTTCTAACACAGAGACACATCGTGGTCTGTTCATCAATGCAGTTTTTGGAAGCCTGTAGGGTGACCTGTGGTTTTGGTTCTGCAGCCACAGAGCACAAGTCCCCAAAAGACAATAGGGAATAAGCAGCACCCACGGGTGGACAGTAGGGAAGGGGCCCTCCAGGGGATGCAGGGCCCAGCCTCCAGTGCTCCCCCTGGGCAGAATGTCCTGTCAGTGCCTGTCCCCACAGCATGACCAGAGTGACTCCTGTCTGGCCCCCCCACACTTCTCCCTGTCTCCACCAACCCAGCCTATCTCCATCGCCTTCTTGAGGTTATCAACAGAAGGGATGGACCCAGAGTG